CTAAGATGGAATCATCATATATTGATACTTATAAACAATACTTATAAATAATACTACCAACTCTGATAATGTTGCTGGCATTTAAAGGAAATTGCGACCCCTGTATCCATGGGAGATATTTTCCAAGACCTGAAATTCCAAGAAATTCTTAGAATTTCAGGTCTTTGATACCTGAAATTGTGGATAATAGCAAAAGCTATCATTTGACTATACTTGAGCTGGAAGCATACTGTATTATCACACCTAGAAAGTCCCACAAATACTAAGGGAGGAAATATTTTTTGAAGCATGAGTAAGTAAAACCATGGCATTCAAATCAACGGATAAGGGGTGGTGATGGATGGAAATAAAATGCATGTATAATATAACAAACTCAACCTAGCTAGCTGTTTCTGACTTACTAAGCTCTTTGGCATGTGTGCATATATCAATACATGTAAAAAGACGAAGCAACATACCATATATTTTCGCTTTAAGCCAACTGGAAGATGTACAGATGAAGAGCCAAAGGACTTCAAATTATTTGTTAGCTTTGGTCCTTCTGTGTTCTTTGGCCAATCACTATAACTAGTTTCAGAAACTTTTTCAGATTCAACTGTAATCATGTACCTATCACTTTCTAAGTCATCTCCAGGTTTTACCTAGAGGGAACACAAGAAAACATTATATAGTATCAAGTTTACATGAATATAACAAGAAAAAATGTGTTTTATTACTCTTGCTATATCTAATCCCAATTATGACTCTTCACATATTCTCCCAAGCGAAGCTAGTTTTGTATGCAAAATCTATTCGGCTTTGCTCCTTGTTTCTTATTGGTAGCCTTATCCACCACATATCTGACAATGTTTCAAAGACCACAAGAACTCAAACTCTATTTTAACCTCAAAACATTTACGTTCATTTAATAGTCAACCACTTAATTCTGTGTTTAAGGAATGTGAAAAAGCCCCTCGTTTATAAAAGCTAAGGTTTTCAGGAACTGATATGAATATTATATGCTCTGATAACAAGAAGTTGTCAGAAATCACAGCATGAGCATGATCCCATCAGTTAATATCTGGATATACCTTTTGATGAAAATTCACAAAATTTTGGCAAAAATACTTTTTACAATGAGGTATGTTCTGTCATATTTTTGCACTCACGCTTGGCAAATTGGTTGTAAAACACAGCATGCTGACTTCAGGCATTATTTTAAAAATATTACATACATTTGTGCTTGGATGAATAAACCGAGTAGTGAAAATGTTTTTTAAAGAGTTACATGCATACAAATACACTTGTTACCTGTTAGTTTGGGTATTCCCCAATTTTTGAGGCAGATAAATTGGCAGAGTAAATTTTAGATCAATTTAATACCAAAATAACAACTGCATACTTTAAATAAGGAATGGAAAGCATATACCTTGAACTTCACAAAAATACTATCCAAAACCTGTCCTCTTTCATCACATAAGATTGCCTGTATGAGAGCAAGAACAAAATACAAAACAGGTAAGTATTTCATCACATAATGTAACACTGACAGCCATCAATGATATCTGTGTAATAACCCTTTACCTTATTTCCCCCAACAGTTGCCTTCAAAGTTCCATCGTGCCACACTTTGGATTTTTTAGTCTTCTGATGTGTATATAAAACCTATTTAGGTAAGTGAAAATACAGCATATATGTTTAATTGAAAATATTTTCATTATATTTTTAATCAATGATTAATTTTAAAAGTACAGATAAATATAAAATATTAAGTATTCAAGAAAAATTAAAATATCAGAAACTCACAGTAAACTCTTGGCAAGCCATCACTTCTTTCACATTTCATGCCACCTAAAGGGGAAAATAGCATGTTTTAAGTCAAATGAGTTGAACACCTGGAATGCAGAGACACATGTATCCTGTATATAAATCACTTTTACAGAATTTCATCAGCAAGCTGATGTCCCTCTGTGTGTTTATATATGTGTGTGAACATGTTTATCTAATGCACTGGACTGAATCAGTGAAAGCTTATGCTACAATTTTCTTCTTCCCAGTTACTCTATAAAGTGCCACTGGATTTCTTATGGTATTTAATGGATAACATAAAACTGTGTCTGAATAATTAATTGTAAGAGCACATTACCATCACTACCATCCATAAAACCTTAATTTTTTGTTTAAAAAAATCTAATTTATAAATGTGTTTTGATAATTTTAATTTCGTAACGCTACCACAAGGTGTCTCACTCACATTTTGAGACAAGTTTGACTGAAGACCATTAAAACTGGAAAGATTAATCTGCATTTTAGTTGATTAGTTAATTTAACAAGAAATGTAACAGTGGGGGCTCACGCCACTCCCCGGATTCTAATCTGCAACCAGATGCACTTGTTACATCCCGAATAGACTACTGGGGCACCTTTGAAGGCTGCCCGGAAGCTTCAAGTAGTTCAACGATCAGCAGCCAGGTTGCTCACCAGAGCAATGTACAGGGAACATACGATTCCTTTATTACYCCAACTCCAATGGCTACGTATCAGCTTCCGAGCACAATTCAAAGTGCTGGTTTTAACCTRTAAAGCCCTAAACGGTTCTGGCCCAGACTACCTATCTGAACGTATCTCCTGCCATGAACCATCACGGTTTAAGATCTTRAGGAGAGGCCCTGCTCTCGATCCCACCACTATCACAAACARGGTTGATGGGGATGAAAGACAGGGACTTCTCAGCAGTGGCCCCCCGCCTATGGAACGCCCTCCCTGGAGATATCAGATTGGCCACCCCCCTCTTGCCTTTTAGAAGGAAAATCAAGACCTGGTTATGGGACCAAGCATTTGATCAGTTAGCAAGTGGAAGAAGATCACACAACTTATGGCAATGAATTGACCCYGACTGGTTTTTGGATTTCAATTTTAATGGGTGTCTTAATTAATTGTTTTAATTTTTAATATTTTGATTGTACTATGGTTGTTTTTATGATGCTAGCATTGTATGATGCTTTTTTTAGGCTGCCCTGAGTCCCCTTTCGGGGGGGAAAAGGGTGGGGTATAAATATAGGAAATAAGTAAAATAAATAAACCTTTCAGTTAGCAAGTTCAGCAGCTCAGTGCTTTAACCCACTGTGCCACCGGGGGCTCCTTTGAGGTCCCCCAATATCACTGTGTCCCCAGAGTGGAGGAGGAGATAAAACAGGGCAAAAGAGGCATCAAAGGGCTAATTTACTCAGCTTCCAAATCACAGGCCTAAGCATTTTAATAATGTATTTAAAACCCACAATACATAGGTCATATCACATAGTTCATTCATATTACACCCTTTTTTCTCAGTTCAATTGACTGTTTTCATTCTGTGTAGATACTGACAGACTGCCCGGATTAGAAGTTAAGGATTTCCCCATTAGTTGAAATTCAGTTGTGAAGATAGTGCCTGTTCCCAGTGGACAAGATTGAGAGAGCCAATAGACTATTAAGGAAGCCTTAAAGTACCTGTTTGTTTTCAATAATAAAGAACTTTGTTAAACCTTTGAGCAATCTAAAGACTCTGTTTAAGGAAATCCAAAGGCCTTTAATCTGAGGCAGCCCCGGCGTCCCGTTGAGCACACAGAATGTATGTCCTGTCTACAGTCTTATGCACAGGCCCAGCGTGCGACAGCACAGGTGTAGTTTTACAAAGTGTGCCTTACCAAACTACAACTCCCAGGGCCCCACAGCATTGAGTCATAGCCCTGAGGTAAGGTAAAGGTAGTCCCCTGACATTATGTCCAGTCATGTCTGACTCTGGGAGGTGGTGCTCATCTCCATTTCTAAGCCGAAGAGCCAGCGTTGTCCGTAGACACCTCCAAGGTCATGTGGCCGGCATGACTGCATGGAGCGCCGTTACCTTCCCACTGGAGTGGCACCTATTGATCTACTCACATTTGCATGTTTTTGAACTGCTAGGTTGGCAGAAGCTAGGGCTGACAGCGGAAGCTCACACCGCTCCCCGGAATCGAACCTGCGACCTTTCGATCAACAAGCTCAGCAGCTCACTGCGCCACCGGGGGCTCCATAGCCCTGAAGGTGATGCCAAATCGCATTACTTCTAACCATGGAAATGTGCCCTAAGACTCATACATTATAACTGTATTCTCAATTTGCTTCTGTCCCAATAAATAAATAAATAACCCTGACTCAGCTTAAATATTCTGCATGTTTCTCAAACCCTAGCCTTCCAGTCATTTTGGACTTCAGCTCCCAGAATCCCTGGTCATTGCCTCAGGCACCTGAGGCTTCTGGGAGTTGTAGTGCAAAATACCTCGAGGGCTTGGACTGCGAGAAGATCCAACCAGTCCATCCTCCAGGAAATAAATCTCGACTGCTCACTGGAGGGAAGGATACTAGAGACAAAGTTGAAGTACTTTGGCCACATCATGAGGAGACAATGATGCTGGGGAAAGTGGAAGGCAAAAGGAAGAGGGGCTGACCAAGGGCAAGATGGATGGATGGCATCCTTGAAGTGACTGGACTGACCTTGAAGGAGCTGGGGGTGGTGACGGCCGACAGGGAGCTCTGGCGTGGGCTGGTCCATGAGGTCACGACGAGTCGGAGACGACTGAACGAATGAACAACAACAAGAACTTGAGTTTGGGAGTCATTAAACAGTCGGTGGCGGCTAAACAGAGAAAGGAACTGCAGCTTTGGGGGGAAAAAAACCTTCCCTCAGGACTGCTGACAGAGAGCTCAACCATTGTCGCGTTCCTACCTTCTCAAGTTTCCCGCTCAACCTGCTGGAGGTGACGTCACGTCTGCGCGACGAAGGGATCCACAGAATTCCAAAACGGCGTGTATAGATAGACGTCGTGGCGTCACTTCCAGTATATGTATATGTCTCTCTATTTTTTTCCTATCTCTATGCACATCCTCGCGCCTCCTCTAGGAAGCGCGCGCCAGACAGCAGGTCCTCTTGGCCGCGCCTGCGCAGAAGCGAGCCCAGTTTTTTTCCCCTCTCGCGCGGCGACCAATAGGGTCGGGGAAGAACGCGGTCTCCTGGCTGTCGCGCGAGAATTCAACCTGGCGACGAGCGAGGAGGGCGGGGCGGTAGTTTCGGCGAGGAGACACTTCCCTCGTGACGTTCACCGGGTTAGTGGTGTATGTGTGTGTGTGTACATGCGTGGAAGAAAGGGAATGGCGTGAGCATTGCTGTCACTTTTGGCTCGTTTCTCTCAGAAGGTGGTGGTTTGCGCATGCGCAAGTGCTGCGCCGGTTAAGGGCTGAGAGAGGGGTGTTTCAAGGGGTGATTTGATTGGCTGAGGGGGTGGAGGGTGGGAGGGGGTCATGGTTTGTATTCCTGTGCGCATGCGCCTGGAGCCTCGCCTCCTTTTTGGTTGCTGTAGGATTCCCCCAGCGAGGTTTCCTAAGGCCCTTTCCACAAAGTTCAATAAAATCCCACATTTTCTACTTTCAATTAGAATATATGGCAGTGTGGACTCAGATAACCCCGCTCCAAGTAGATACTGTGGGATTTCCTGTCTTGGTATTCTGTATGGAAGGGCCCTAAGAAATAAAGTAGCTATGGTCACATTTTTCTGCCAACCTAGCAGTTGGAAAACATGCAAATTTGAGTAGATCAATAGGTACCACTCCGGCGGGAAGGTAACAGTCATGCCGGCCACGTGATCTTGGAGGTGTCTACGGACAACGCCGGCTCTTCGGCTTAGAAATGGAGAAGAGCACCACACCCCAGAGTCAGACATGACTGGACTTAATGTCAAAGGACAACCTTTACCTTTTATGGCCACATTTCTGCAGAGTTGCCGGACATAAAGACAATGTTTACAGGACTTTACATCCAAAAATTACCTCAAGATTTGCACCCTTGCCTTTACCTTTTTCGTACAGCTTGCTTTGATGTTTCTTGGATTGTTGGATTGATATTTCATCAATAGCCTTGTATTAGATGTTCTCATGGCTGATAAATGCTAACAATCAAATAAAGAATTATGAATCCCAGTACTGCTAAAGGGTCCTTAAAGGGAAGCATGTGTCACTATATATTGTATCATTACCATACCTTGAGAACCGGACATGGCCACGGTGCTCCATGCCTTGGTTGCATCCCATTTAGACTATTGTAACAGGCTCTACGTGGGGCTGCCCCTAAAGAGTGACTGGAAACTTCAATTGGTTCAGAGATGTGCAGCTAGGTTATTGACAGGTGCTGGACCCAGAGAGCGTAATATCCCCCCTCCCCCGCTAAAGCACCTGTACTGACTGCCAGTATATTTCCAGCCGCCGTCATTGCAAATGCAGTTGGTGGTGACAAGAGAAAGGACCTTCTTGGTGATTCCTCCAACCCTTTGGAACTCCCTCCCCAAGGAGGTTAAAACAGCTCCTTTCCTGACATCTTTGAAAAGCAGCTAAAGACCTTCCTGTTCACGCAAGCTTTTAATAAAGATATTTAATTTGAAATGGCAGGAAGGCTAACTTTCAGTGAAAGTTAGCCATCTGTATTGACAAATTTCCCACAACAACTGTATTTGATCAATGCTTTTTTTTAAAAAAAAGTTTATGCCTTTTTGCAAAGTTGATTTTACAGGTTGTTATTGTTTTAAAATGTTGTGAGCCACTTTGGATCCTGTTTAGGGAAAAAAATAGGATACAAATAAATTATTATTATTATTATTATTATTATTATTTGAATTGTTTGCCATTGCAAAAGTACTGATATCAAATTATTTTAAGAATTAGAGATAAGAATTACCTGATGATCATGAAAAGTATCTTTCTCTTCAGGAAAAGGTAAATATTTTAATCTGCTTCAGACATACATTATAAAGGAACAAATGTTAGGCTCCTAAAAGATAGCATTTAACAACTTTGATGTTGTAAAGATTCAAAGAATCAATAATTCTAATGCTAAAAATAAGAGCCGTGCTTTGTTCATTTTCAGGTGATAGCATGATGGAAATGGAGACTGAAGGTGTAAGAAACAAAGGTGTGGAGAAAGAAACCACTGAACAAAGAAAGGAACGAGAAAAAAAGAAACGCTCTAGAGTTAAACAAGTGCTTTCGGATATAGCAAAGCAAGTGGACTTCTGGTTTGGTGATGTAAATCTTCATAAGGACAGATTTCTCCGAGAACAAATAGAAAAATCTAGAGATGGATGTGAGTGTGTGCTTTGTAGTAATTAAATCATTTCTGTATCCCTGGAAAAATATCCTTGTTCATTCATGTTTCCAATTCTAGGATCTAGAATTTTTCATGTAAGTCTTAGTGTAGAATTTAGAAATATGACAGGGCAGAGGAGTTGTATTAAATTATTTAGCTCTGACTTTCATGTTTCTCATGAGCCCCTTCTACACTGCCGTATAATCCAGACTATCAAATCAGATAATCCACAGTATCTGCTTTGAACTAGATTATATGAGTCTACATTGCCAGGTAATCCAGTTCAAAGCAGATAATCTGGATTGTATATGGCAATGTAGAAGGGGCTATGGAGATATCTTAGTGCCTGAAAGGGAGTTATAAAAGCCAGTCTTCATTCTTGTTCAGCTGTTCACTTCGATTCTTTTAAAGGAGGCGAAACAATTCCTTCTGACACACAACTTTAAACAAATCTCTTGATAGCTTTATATTCTCCTCCCTTAATTTCAACATTCTTGTTTTAGATGTTGATATATCACTTCTGGTTTCTTTTAATAAAATGAAAAAATTAACAACGGACAGAAAATTGATTGCACGAGCAGTGAAAAGTTCATCTGTGGTAGAGGTAAGTATAAAGCTGGGTTTTTGGGGGTTTTTTTGTTTGTTTTGGTTGCTTTGTTCTGAAATGTTGAATGAAAAGAACAGTTTTGGCAAAGACATTCCTAATTCACTTATTCATTATAGTTGGATTTAGAAGGAATAAGGATAAGAAGACGACAGCCACTGGGTGAAGAACCAAAAGATGTGGATAGTCGTACAGTGTATGTGGTAAGGCTTTCATCTTAATCCCCTCTTATTCATCTTTAAAATGATTATTTTAAAGTGATTATTATTACTCTAATTTCAGAAAGTGGTAATGAACTATTGTTAAACTTTTTTTCAAGGTTTTTGGTGCAATTGCAGTTTTGAAGGCTGAGATTATTTTGTCATTTTGATGGTTAAGCACTGTGTATGTGCTTCAGGGGTTGCTGTTTGGTTCAGATTCCTAGGTTTTATTCAGATATTATGCTACAATGTCACTGTTGTTTATGTTTATATCTCACTTGAGTCTGGGGCCCCCTCTACACCGCTGTTTAAAATCCATATTATCTGCTTTGAACTGGATTACCAGACAGTGTAGACTCAGATAATCCAGTTCAAAGCAGATAATGTGCACACTCTCCACTTGCCATACAGGTCACAAACCAAGGTGGACCAAAGATGTCTTTATTGTTGGACAATGCCTGAAAACATGCTAAAATGGATGCTCATAAATAGATATTAGGCAATTTTCAAATTCCATTTTGGGGCAAACTAATAGTAATAAATACCTGTTAAAATTGTATACAATTTTAAGGCATTCAGGATCAAGGATTTTGAGTGAGTATACAAAGTATGTGTGCATGTACATAATAATAGTAATCTTTATCCACTTTGTGGGTTTTTTATTTGTTTTAGGAATTACTTCCTAAGAATGTCAATCACAGTTGGATTGAACGGGTATTTGGGAAATGCGGCAATGTAGTTTATATTAGCATTCCTCGTTATAAGACTACAGCAGACCCAAAAGGATTTGCATTTGTAGAATTTGAAACAAAGGAACAAGCAGAAAAGGCAATTGAGGTAAGTTAAGGATCATATCGGACTTTTGTGTGTTTCATACATACCTAATTTAAATTTCTATACCTTTTAAAATAGTTCAATATGAATCCTTTTATGATGGCAGTTATGAAACTTCACTGAATATGTCAAGCTTCTGTATATTCAGTGGACTGCATGAGTATGGAATATTTTACAAAGGGGAACATCTACATTTTTAACCAACAATAGGTCTCCAACCCTTTATGGTGTACAGAAACTGTTCTTGAAATTAGGTACTAAAATGTCTAATAGCTGTTTTACTAGTCAGAAAATAGGTTTACTGTTGTGGCAGAGCTCTTAGTTTTCTACCATTGGCAATTATATCTTAATCTTTGGCTATAAAGTGAAAGCTGTCTTTACTATAAACTTAAAGCTCCCACATTGATATCTAGTCTTACTGGTAGTAGGTTTCTCCAGATTCAGTGGGACTAACCAATTCTCCTGTCTTCTGAGTGTTGTTCTTTATTTCTTTATTTACTTATTTATTTAATTATTATTTAGTTCTTTATTTTCTTGATTTGCCCAAACACGAATCAAGGAACATGAAAGACACTGCAGACAAATTCAACCAGAGAAGTCAGCCATAGCAAAGCACTTGGTGAACCAACCTGGACACAGCATATCATTTGAGAACACAGAAATGCTGGACCACTCTAACAACTTCCATGTCTACACAGAGACGCCATTGAAATCCACAAGCATGTGGACAATTCTAACAGAAAGGAAGAAACCATAAAAATGAACAAAATCTGGCTACCAATATTAAAAAGCTCTAAAATCAGGACAGTAAATAAAGAACAACACTCAGAAGACAGGGAAATTCCAGACATGAAACAATCAGGGCCAGCTAACACCTCCCAACAAAGGATTCCCCCAGGCAGGAAGCAGCAAGGCTTTGAAACTGCAAGGCTATTCAGTGCCAATCAAGCCGGCCAATTACAATATTCACACTTGCCTCAAGCAAAGCATCTTCTATCCATTTTTGGTGCAGCACCTTCACGGGAAGAAACACATTATAGACTGCCATCTTAATTTATCATTTTTCTGTGTGTCATATAGTTGCATAATACCAGAGTAGTTTTTAAAATCATTTTTATTAAGTAGATAATATCAAGATCTGTGAGTAGATAATATATATTTATTACATATACACATTTTATATAATATATCATTTCTATGTTATGTATTCATCTTTTTAGAACATTATTATTCTTTTCATTTTTTTTGTAATACCAAAGTATTTAAATGTAACATTTGTTAAGATTATGACCTTCTATTCTGCCATCTCTTAGTTATTATGCCTTTGCAACAAATTCTAGATATTAAATCATGTGGAGATGCTTTCAAGTTGGCCCTGAAAGCAGTGAATTTGTTCATAACTAATAGCCATTATCTTAAACGTCTTGTCTTCTTTTATTCATTGAAGTTTTTGAATAACCCACCAGAAGATGCACCAAGAAAACCTGGTATGTTCCCCAAAACAGTTAAAAATAAACCTGTTCCAACTTTGTCTACAAATGACGCCCATGTAGTAGGTGAGTACCTATCTGATATTCTCTGTGGATACGTTTATGGATGAGGAGGACAGTTGATCATTTAGCCAACCAGTTGTGTATAGTTTCTTCTTAAAAGTTGGTCACTTTGAAATTACATTTTAAAACTTTCCCTTAAAAAAATATGCTACCTTCAGCTATTTATGAACATACAACTAAATCATATGAAGAAAAACCAAACCGACTTCTGATTTTACAACGGGACTTCTGATATAATGCCTGAAGATTTCAATTGGAAATAACAGTTGGAGTCATATTCTAATGTTGTAGCTTTTTCATATGATTTTGGCTGCTGTATTTGTTTTTATAAAGTAATTAGGTTTGGATTTTTTATTATTTTAAATTACCGAGGAATGTGGCATTATATAAACATTTCAAATAAAATGTTTTCAGCAAATTCATTGGGATAGAAGAGCTTCCCTCCCTAATTTTGTGGTGTGTGCTACAGGTCAAGCACTTGTAATTTATTTAAAGATACTGTGTATAAAATTACCTGCAGGCTATGTGTAATTGTGTATTATATAAGACCAAATAAATGTTGTGTTTTCAATTTGGGCCCCATCTACATGGACCATTTAATGCAGTTCAAATCCTTGTGCTTCATCTTCATTCTGAAAATTTCTCACTTACAAATGAGCACATTAATGAGCTGTTTTATTTCAACTTAGCAAATACATCTTCAGACTGGTTGTCGTTGCATGTATGCAGTTCAGAGCTATACAACAAACACCTATAAAAATATGAAAGAAAGCCTTCAATGTGCATTGGTGCTCTGTGGTTTATGTAATCACCATTAGGGCCTCAAAACTGATTCCATGATTTCCTATGTAATAATTTGCACATCAAAAGCACTTTCTTTAATAGAGGATTGAAATGCATGAAATGATCACATTGGTCACATCTCCAGAGTATATTATATTTATATGCTGGTAGTTCAAAATCTGAAAGAATCGAAAACACTTCTGGTCCCAAGCACTTCAGATAAGTGATACTCAACCTATATTTATTTTCCATCTTTGATCGTTATTTCCTTTAATCAAGATGTGGGATGCAATAGCTGACTTGCAGCAGATCCCCAAACAACCTGATATGATTTTCTTCCTAATTCTACCTTGAGAAAGTTGCTATAAAGTAGTTTCTTGCTCAAGTACTAATCAGATCTGAACTTATTCAGCTTCCTAAATTAGATAAATTGGCTGGGTTACAGCCAATTTATAGCCATGAAAATATATGGTAATTAAAATTACAGCAAGAAACTCCCTAAAATTACTAGTAAACATGTTTTTCACAGTACATTTGTCGTGACATAAGCTTCCATGGGACAGAGCCTACTTCATCTGATTTATGAAAAGTTGGCATCATTCTGTAAGGAAGCAAAGTCAAATAATATGCAATAAATTGAGATTATGTCAATTATTTTGTTCACATAGAAGAAAAGAAGAAGAAAAAGAAGAAGAAATCCAAAGCAAAGAAGGAAAATAGTCATCAATCAACTGCAGCAACAAAAGACATAAGTATGGATGTCACTCCAGAGCCCACAAGCAAATCCAGGAGGCGCAGGACAGTATCAGAGAACTCTGAAATAGCATTATCAGAAGTCCAGAAACAGTGTTCAAAGAAGGAGAAAAAGAAACTGGATAGAACTGAAAGCTCAAGTTTAGGAGAAAATAGACCAGGAAAAAGGAAGCGAAGCCATTCTGGAGATGCAGAAGTATCAGTTGTGAAAGTAAAGAAAACTTCTCAGAAAGACACTGTTCACTCTACAAAACAAGAATCAACTGATGGTCCAGATGATTCCAAAGGTAACCGTCACATTTTCTTTCATGCAACTGAATTGAACAGATATGTAAACATTATATTTGGATCAGTTTCAAACGAGCTCTCAATGGTCAGATAATATTCAAATAAGGGTTGCACAAGGTTGGGCCGTCTTATGCTAATAACACAGTGCTTTTTGTGATATGCTTTTGCTATTGGCTATGAATGAGTGCTTTTGAATACCAAATAGGTAAATATTTGAAAAGAATGTTTCTGTCATTGTTGGCATAATGTATGCAAAACAAATAGATTTAAAGATTGAATCAGGAATCTTATTCTTCCCTCTAAAATCCCGATACTCTCATATTCTTTCGAATTCCATAGACAAAGCAGACAATTGATACTCCTCTCAGAAATTGAGAAGTTTGTGAATCTGTGCTAAACTGTATTTAAAACAAACTGTCAATTGTTGGAAATCTGAGAGGTGTTTTCTTTTTGTGTGTGTGCCATAAACTACATTTCAGAGTAATAAAAAGTACTATTGGGAGTAATGTTGTACTGTGTAATGCTTTATCCAATATTATACATTTTTCCTGTTGTTGAGAAGGCCTTCCCAGACTGTGATAATAACCAGGATATTAAATGACGTCATTAGCAAATCTGCACATATACATATGGGAGAAGGAAGGCAACAATACAATTGAATGTTCATATTTCTGACTGCAGTTAACAGTTTTCTATTATCAAGTGTTTCTTCCAATAGACTATCTGTCATGTGTGTCTGCATATATGTGCCTTCAAGATGCCTATGGCGACCTTATGAACTCCATAGTGTTTTCTTAGGCAAGGAATACTCAGGCATAGTTCTCTCAGTTGCCTACAGAATTCATTGGCAGTTTCCCATCCAAGTACTAACCAGAGCTGACCTTACTTGACATCCAAGATCAAATGGAATCTGGTGACTTTAGCAGAAAGGATACGTAGTAGTGAAGAGACACAGATTCAAAATTTCATCCAGTTACCAAGCTTACCAATTAGTTACTTTTTCTTTGCCTGTTTAATTTATATGATGTTTGTGAGAACCAATGGAGAGGAAATTAGAGAGCTATGTGTGCTGTATTGGAGAATGAATATGGTGTAATGGTTTGAATGTTGGATGCAAACTGGAGACACAAGTTTGAATCCCCGATTGGACCTGGAGACGAAATGGGTGACCTTGGGCAAGTCACACACTCTCAACCTTAGAGGAACCAAAGATAAACTCCTCTGAACAAATCTTGCAGAGAAAACCATGATTGCCGTAAGTTTTAAAGAACTTGAAAGTACACAACTATGTTATACAAATGTCATGAATTATGGAGGCAGTCATTGTCATTTTTAAAGTTTCTCTTCCTTTTTCACTTAGAAATGTCTACTGAAGAAGAGAGAGATGGCGGGGATAAGAAAGATACGTCTCTTTCAAAATCTAAAAGAAAGCATAAGAAAAAACATAAAGAGAGACACAAGATGGGAGAAGAGGTCATTCCACTGAGAGTTCTCTCAAAGTAAGTTAAAACATACAAAGTGTTTTTGTATATACAGTGAAATGTTGCAGTATATGTGTATAGGTGAATTTTAAAAGCAAACACTTCCCACACCTTTGTTTTTTAATTCAGTTAATCATTGTAATATGTCTTATCTAGATATCATTAAAGAAACAAAATATTTCAGCTTTCATTTTTAAAAGTTAACTTGTAACCAAAGTTGGCAGCTTTTTAATGGGTGGTACTTAAAAAGTTCTGAGCTTGTACAACCAGAAATTGTATCATTTTTTGTTTTTCAAACAGGAACAATATGGGGAAACTGTTTTGTTCTGAGTTGGCCATTGATTGCTCAGGCTTCCTAGCCAGGATTGCAAACTTGTAAAGCTTGTCTGTTGTCTTTTCTATATACTGAAAATTGCATTGTGCATGCCAGTATTTACTCATATAAGATGAGGTTCCAGGATCAGAAAGTGATTTCTGTGTGTTTGTTTTGTTTTTGTTTTGGTAGCAGGATTCTACCTGGAGATTGCTGGTTTTCAACAGTATTCTGGCCAAGAACAAACTAGGCTGGTCTTGCTTTATTTCTGAAATTTGTAGATGTAGAGCTCAGGGGCAAGGGGAGCAATGCTAGTGTTATGAACATTTCATGTGGTGGCATATTTTACTTCAGAAAGCCCAAAGTGCTTGTGACATTTTATAGGCTTGTTGGTGCTGGCAGTTGTAGCCTTAAGGAAACTTAATTGAATAGAATCTTAGTATAACAGAGTTAGAAGAGACCATGCAGGCTATCCAGTCCAACCCCCTACCATGCAGGAAAAGCACCATCAAAGCACCCCTGGCAGATAGTCGCCCAGCCTCTTTTTAAAAGTTCCCAAAGAAGCCTCCACCACACTCTGAGTTCCACTGTTTTAATAACTCTTAATGTCAGAAAGTTCTTCCTAATGTTTTTTTTAGTTATTGTAATTTTGTGGCTAAGTCATTTAATACTCAAGTATGACTATCTTGATTCAAATATTGTGTTGAGCAAAAGGTCCTAATTTCATTTTCTCTTTGGCAGCACAAAATCATTCCTCAACCCTTGCCCTTGGAAGGTAGTGTTATGGATTATGATTAGGTGGTGAAAGTAGATGCCCATTAGTTATTTTTTAAAAAATCTGCAAAATAATGAAAGATGTGCAAAATTTCTTCAATGTTGTATCATACTGCATTTTATCAATGGCTTGTAACTTTTATTTTAACTCTGTATCTTGTTGTATGTCATTTAATTGTTTTATCTCTTGTTTTATTTATGTATCCCATCTTGAGCCATATTATTAATATTATTACTGTTATTATTGTCATTATTTATAGTTTCTTGTGGTTTAGTGAATAAATCTATCAAGTATATTTTCCAAATTGCAAGCAAGATCAGAGTTTTACATTTACAGGCAAAATACAGGCATATCTAAGTCAATTGATCTTAATTTATGTTTACTAAACTGAATGTTTCCCTCTTGAAACTAGTATGATGCCAATGTAAGTGCCTTTGACTTGGTTAAGACCCTAATTTAAATCAGTGGGCTTAAGTATGCCTAACTATTGGATTTAGGCCATTGTTTATTTTTAGACTAGTTGTAAGTAGGAGTTGAGATTCTTACATCTACAACTGTATTGTTACTTCAGTGCACATTTGCTGAGAGGGTGATAAAAAACAGAGATACGTTTCCTCACAAAAATGTTTTATTACAGAACCTCTGTAGGAGCAGTAATTAAATCAGTATTTGATTTATGCATTAATACATTTTATAGCCATATTTCAAGGGTCCACATATGTATTTTCTGTAAAGCTTGTAGTCCATCACCATTGCTAAAGTGCAATTCCAGATTATACATGACAGAGTTGCACATTAGCAACAGTAAAGGATTACAGCAAAATACCAATCTGTAGAAGATCTCAGTCTTCTTATATATGAAAAGATTAGCATACTTTCACGAGTGAAAATTAATGAAAAGGTCACATTACTGGCCAGAAAATCCTTGTGCTTCATCTTAATTCTGAAAATTTCCCATTTACAAATGAGCACATTAATGAGTTGTTTTCTTTCAACATAGCAAATACATCTTCAGACTGGTTGTCGTTGCATGTATGCTGTTCCACCTCCACTAAATTATGCATTCTTTCCATCTTGCATAGTTGATTAAAATAGGATGTGCCATCACTAAAATATGAAAGCACTTTTTAAAAGGAACAAAAAACAAGTACTTTCATATTAAAGTAGTGGATAATCCTTTACCATGTGGGTGAGAAAGTTACATTTTAAAACATAACAGCTCAATATATTTGTGTTGCAGAATTACTTTTCTGCTAATACAAAGGTCATTTTACAAAGAAAATCCAAATCATACAAGTCTCAACTAGTACAAACTATTTAACAGTTTTAACACATTAACTGAACAACAAAATGTAACATTTTCCCAGTTATTTTTTAAGGAAAAAAGGGAGATGGGGCATCATTTTCACCTTGAGCTCCTGGAAAAAAAATGAAAGATGAAAATGCAGTAAATACATTTATTGCTATGATTTAAACTCTAAGCAGATCTAATTAGGAAATCTTCTTCTTCTTCTTCTTCTTCTTCTTCTTCTCCTGCCTCCTTTCCCCAAGAGACTCGGTACAATAAGCGCAATACAATAAAATACATAAAATGGATAAATAATAACACATCAATAGATATAAAACACGAAATGCAGCATAATCAAATAACAAAAATTTACAATAACATAATGAACATTAGATTAGTATAAATGAGATTTTAGTACAAGTCAGTATTCCTAGGTTGAAGCTAATCCACCTATAATAATAGGTGTGCTCTGTTCAAGAAAACAATATTTCTCATCACTGAAATGTTTTTTAAAAGTACTTATAAAATTGGTAGTGGTAAGTGAAATACTAACTTTGGCTGCAGTCATTGTGCAAAAACATGTTCTAGGTTACTCTAGGAAGGACATGTTTAACTGTCCTATTTCAGAATTAATGCATACATTGGTAGAACATCAATATAACCGATGTTACAGTTAAATAAGCATACGTTTAACATGGCTGTTTCAGTGACACAATCACAGGAATGAATTAAGAGTGAGTTCAGGATTCACCTCTACTAAAACATGGAAGCACTTACTTTTTTATATGCACAGAAAGCACCTCCATGTTAAAGTAGAAGCAGTCCATACAGCAGGTTCTCCTATCTACCTGTGCTGTCCAAATCAAATCAAATAAGGGGGAAAAACCAAAATATATGATTACGTAAGAGAAAGATTTCACCTCTTGCTTACCTTGCTTTCCATTCATTCTGGCTTCTTCTAAACAAGCACTGCCTCCAGCATCTATTTATATGGTACTTTCCCAAAGGGTAAAAGCACCTTTTTATCTCAGTCGTTAGCTGGATCTTTTGTTATTTAATGTCTTTCCTCCAAGATTGTCTGTTCCTGGATGAGATTAAATCTTTTCTAGCGCACACAGTAGGCAACCCCAAGAGTTAAAGCTATTACCCCAAGCAATTTGGCTTTTAGAGAGAAAATTTAAAATACATTAAAAAATATCCTATATTTGATTATTTGATATCACAGTTCTCTGTTTCACTGTCTCAATTCTGTTTGTGTGTGCAAAAGTCTAATTGCAGGACCACAAAATGTACCAGAAAAATTACCACATCTTAAAACAAATATTAAAAATTGAATGTATAAGAAAAATAAGCAGATGAGTTTTAGTAATTTACCTTGATACGTGTTGTAATTAGATCAGTATTTGTGTTCCAATTTGGAGTAAATAGTGATATGTAAGAAATCTTTGCAGGGCTCCTAACTGGCAGTAGCTAGAAAAATACACTCAAAACTGCCACTGGATCATAGACTATCTTTCCTCATAGCTTATAACAACAGTGATGCTTTCTAATGTTATTATAAGCATTTTATAACAAAAAAAAAACTAAAACAAATGCAGTAATGAATGAATATGTAGCATCCACTTGATGAAAGGTCTGTTCTATAGCAAGTAAAATTCGTTGAAGGCCCCTGTTTGTATACCTGAACAAGAAGATAATTTAAACAAATCATAACACTGAAAGTGGTATTGCAGTTGCTATCCCGTATTCTAAAGCTGATAACATGGTCCTTGGACAATCCAGTGATACATTTTTTTAAACTTTATCAATTTGCAGATTTTGTTTTAATGTTAGCAAGTTTGATGTAATTTTTAGTGACACTGTTCATTTCTTAACTCTGTAGAAATGAATGGATGCAGCTGAAGCAAGAGTATTTGGCTCTACAAAAAGCCAGCATGTCATCCCTGAAAAAAGCAATGGCCCAGACAAAAGATGTAGCTGTTAAACAAATGGAAGCAGATGCCAGTGTACCAACCAGAAATGGCAAATGTAAACAATATTTTTACTTTCTTCATGTTGTCATAATTAGATTTTTTAAAGTGGAAGGTTCCAGAGTTAAACGTTTTGAATAAAATTTGGAAATTGAGAATTTTCTGATGTTTCCCAGGCAAGAAAATGGAGACAACGAAGTAATTTCAAAAGTTGTAAATAGGTTTTATCTGCCATGAGGCAAAATTGACTTATTGTAATATAATGTCACAAACTGTTAAGGCATGCAAACATATATTTATGCACGAGTGAGAAAGAGAGGTTCTGTGACATTATATTAATAGTTTCAGAGAAAGAGCATTTATATCTCTCTCTCTCTCTCTCTCTCTCTCTCTCTCTCTATATATATATATATATATATATATATATAGGCATTCACCAAGTTACAAACAAGATAGGTTCTGAAGGCTTGTTCTTAAGTTGAACATTGATATTGAATGTAAATACATGAGGGTTATATGTAACGTTAAATCTTCAGTACTGCCTTTGTGGCATGCTGCCCCACTTCTACATAATTGCCTAGAGCAGTGATTCTCAGCCTGGGGTCTCCAGATGTTTTTGGCCTTCAACTCCCAGAAATCTTAACAGCTGGTAAACTGGCTGGGATTTCTGGGAGTTGTAGGCCAAAAACATCTGGGGACTCCAGGTTGAGAACCACTGGCCTAGAGGAAGAAACCATTTAGTTCCACTTGTTGACTTGCAGATTTGTCATTATCCAGAATCGTAGTTTAAAAGATCTAATGCAATCTTCCCCAAATAGTTTTGTTTTTGTTTCATTGGCTTGTATAGCAAAATACAGCTTATTTTAAAGCATCATTTTTTAGTTTACACATGTTAAATCCAGAGGTGATCACAATATAATATTGGATTTTTTTCCTCTAGGCCAGTGGTTCTTGACCTATGGGTCCCCAGATGTTTTGGCCTACAACTCCCAGAAATCACAGCTAGTATCCCAGCGTTTAGGATTTCTGGGAGTTGAAGGCTGTCAGGAATTGTGGGAGTTGTAGTCCAAAACACCTGGAGGGCCCTAGTTTGCCCATGAGGGCCGTAGTTTGCCCATGCCTATACTAAACCCTGTATCTAGTAACCACAGAGTATTAAATTATGGTTACATGGAAAACTGTCAAATCTTATAACCTTGATAACAAATGTTCTGTCTTATAACCATGATAACAAATGTTTCTCATTTTATTATCATTAAAGCCAGAGTCCTCATAATAATCCCGATCAATTTTGTTGAATAAAACCACGAAGTATTCAATATTACTTTCAGTAATCTACTACTGGGATGGGAAATGGCAGATTGATTTTTGCTTTTGAAATTCTGAATGGTCTGTGAAATCTTCCAATTTTACAGCAACAAAACCTGAGTAGTTGTTGGGTTTGTAAATGAAAGGATTTCAAGTTTTACTCTTGGTAGTGAAAATATTTTTTTATTGAGCATGATCTCGTAGGTTCCAAATAGATTGCTACCTCCTGTCTGCTAGTTTAGAACAATCAAATTCATCTAAATTCACTTGGCATTCAGACAAATGTCTCTTACAAATGTTATTTTATCAAATGGTTTGACACCATTAACTAAAACAGTTGATTTATATATTATATAGTCATGCCTAACTGTGCTGGTCTGGGCTTGTAGGAGTAATTGTCCCAAGCACCTCTAGAGGCCAACCAGGTTCTAAAAGACTGATGGAGGGGAAAAGTATTAATATTATTGATACTTTTTTTGTTACAAAAGTTGTCTGATTGTGTTTATATTGCTGAGTGAAATTTAAACATAATGGTAATGTTTTATAAGTCAAACATGTTTGTTACTTTGTGTCAAATTGAAGTACATATTGTTGCTACTAGTTGTGTTATATATATATATGGCAAATGTTTAACAAAAATGTATGCATTTTAACCATTTCTTACATAATATAAAAGTTTTACTAGTGAAGCTTTTAATTTATTCAGTGCTAAATTGTTATATGTAACATTTTTTTCCATTTGAAATGAACAGCTCTAAGTGAAGGTTCAGCCCCTGCTGAGAAGGTTCATTCAATGGGGCCTCAGTTTGAAAGTGGAGTAATTGTGAAGATAATTAGTGCTGAGCCTTTGCCTGGCAGGAAGCACATCAAGGTAATACCTCTGTAACCTCAGTTTAGTTGTTATCTTTTTCTTTGAATTCTTTTAACTTCTTGATTGTTAACAAAGTGTGCTTCAAACTTCAAGTACTATCTGTGAATGGGTGATTTCATTGAAGAACCAATATGAGGAAATCTATTCCAATGCAAAAAAAAAAAAAGACTTTCCAGTGGTCTTGTCATATATTTTGTATCAGTGTAATTTCCCCACAGACTTCTAGGTTGCAGAATTTCACCCTCATTGATTGCAGTAGAGAAATAAAAAGGACTTAAATCTTGTACAATTAGGGAAAAAACTGTTTATTGATTTTAATTCATTGTAATAATAAATAAATAAATAAATAAAATATATTAAATACTAACTTTTAAATAAGCAGCATTGGCCTGATTTGAGTTATTCACTAGGTCTCCAAGATAGTAGGCTTTGCTAGGCCTTAGAAACCCACTGGGTAACTTTAGGCAAGTCATATCATCTCAGCTACAAAGAAAGGCAATTGCAAATCTCCTCTGAACAAATCTTTCCAAGAAAAAAATAGGTTTGTCTTGCTGCCCTTTAAGTTAGAAACAACTTAAAGGGACACTCCCCTAATCTAGAGGCAAATGTGGTTTCTATTGGTGTGCCTTAATTGGCTCATTAAATTGGATAGAAAAGAATAGTGCTTATTTACACTAAAATTGTATCTCAGGTTTCAAACTTGGAATGCATTTCTGGTGTCTTGCCTACTATATTTTTGTGAACTGTAATATTACTTGTTTTCTTGCACTGAAACATACATAGTCTAAATCTTTCTAAATTCAAGGTATTCTCTGCCTGTTATTTTTTGTTTGGCGCCTATGTATTGGGGTTGAAAGGCTGGAAACAATGACTGAAAGTGTATATGTTTACTCAGAACATATACTCAATGCCCTAATCTAACCATGTTCTCAAGGGTCTTTGAGTTTAATATTTCAGAAGGAAACCTTGACATCCAAATGGAATGGATAATATGATCAGAACAAGGGAAATAGAGAAGATATAACTATAATTTTCATTGCATTAATTTCTGGTGGTGAATTGTAGCATGCTTTTGAATGTCAGAATCTAAAACCAAGAGGTATCCAATTTAAAGCCTATAATCTGGATTAAATAAATTGTTTAGGCCCAGCAGTTGTTTGCACATCATTATCCTATCTACTTTGTGTCTATAAATATTATATCACCTTAAGCAATTGCAGTTTGATTAGTGTTATTCAGTGGCTAGAGAGTTGTCTTTTGAAAATGGTAAAACCATGCTCATATTCCTTTTCCACAGTGACGTTCATTCAGTCGCCTTGACCAAATGTTCCTGTCTAGCATGCCTCACAGAATGCCTAAAACGTTTGTCTAAGCGTTTTAGAGCAAACACAAGATACAAATCAGTTTGTATTGGGAAACAATGTGTATTAGACTTCCCAAAGACTAAAATGTCTACGAAACAGAAGTATGAAGTGGAAGAAAGCTTGAAGTGCTCACCCATAAATTAAAAGAAGCAAAACAATAATGTTAATATATTTAATCCTTTTATTAGTCTCAAATGGAGTAGATTTTTTGAATCACTTACCAAATCACGACTAATCACTTCTTTAAACCCTACTGATTCAACCAGTTGGAACAACCAATAATGTTCCGATCTGTAGCTCCATATGGTTGGGAAAAAAAAGAATATATATATATATATATACACACACACACACACACACACACACACACTCACACATATACATACACACACACATGCATATATGAAAAATATAATTGTTCAGTGTGTTACATAACTATATATCTGAAGAGTTTTGGAAAATTATTAGGGAAGGGTTTTTGGAGGTGGGTGGAGGTGAAAACTTATTACATTATTCGATTGCAGTGGCCATCTTTTTTTCCAAAAATCCAGATTTTGTTATACTCATTGGACATACCTATTTGTTGGCCATTGTTTTGAAAAATCAATGTGTGATGAGAAAATCAGTTTGATTAAAAGAACTCCCTTTCCCCATGTCTTATGAGTGTTGATCAAGGCAAGCACTATAGTGAAGATGTCATATATCTCTATGACAAAAATGTATATAATAATAATAGAGAATAATGAATACTAAATATATTATAACACTGAAACAATTATTTTCTACAGAGCTACTTTCAGTTTAGTAGGTACAGTAAACTGAATACTTACAGTGGAGTCTTCTTTGTTTGAAACAGGACTTGTTAGCAACACTAGCTAATGTTGCTTATGTTGACTTACTGGAAGGAGATACAGAATGTCACGTACGGCTTAAAACACCTGAGGATGCGCAAACTCTAATCAAAAGATACAAAGAGCTGCAGACTAAAAGTAACTGGAAACTTGAGATTATTTCAGGTCAGTTCCAATAATTCAAAATAATAATTTTCATTGACTTATTAAATGGATTTTGTTAAGTCTTCTGTCCATTGAGTCACAAAAGAAAAAAAGTTATCATTCCAGTGTAGAAGTATCAATCTTTGATCAGTCAAAAACGCATGGATGCCCACTTCTGCTAGCCCTTTGTTTGTACCAAGTTTTATCTGCCCAAGTATTTCCACCCAAAATGAGCCAACTATGGAACGGCTCCAAAATATATCTGTTAAGGAGGCATTTGCAGTATTACATCTCGACCAATTTGCTTTTATCATTCCTACAGTTTATCCTTTGTGTTTATATAAAACTGTTCCAATATTTTTGCATTAAGGTGATCATGAACAACGATACTGGCAGAAAATATTGGTGGACCGACAAGCTAAACTTAATCAGCCACGGGAAAAGAAGCGGGGCACTGAAAAAGTAAGATAAGCACTCTAGGGTTTCTTGGATATGATTGTGAGAGTCTAATGCAGTGATGGAGTATTAATATTGACAGGTTCCAATCAATGTCCTATTAGAAGGAGATACTTAGACCACAACTCTGAGAGTTGTTTCCAGTGGAAATAGTCTGAACTGGGCCCAGTGAGCTAATGGTGTGTGACTCAGTTTAAAACAGCTTCATGTTTTGGAAAGTTGATGTTTTGGAGTGGAGCATATACCTTGCATATGTTAACTCTTATTGTTCAAGAATCATCGGTAGCACTTTATAAAATATTATGAAGTGTAAATCAGTTTGGTTTTGAACTATAACTGCTACTTGGAATAGATAGCCATTGGTTTGATTCAGTATAAGATAGCAGCATACAGTTATGAGATCTATATTCATTTTTCTGTGCAAGGAAAAGCTTGTGTTTTGTACTTTACAGTACTTGACTAAATTTTAATAGTAATAACATAAAATACTGTTATTTTCCCAATATTCAGTATAAGCAATCATTAGTTTGACAGCAGAAGCGACTTGCAGTTTCTCAACTCACTTCTGGCACAATATAAAAGTTTGACCCACGTGCATGCTTAGTACTGAGTTAGAGGCATTATGAATGCATTGTTGGTGTTTGTTTATTAATTTAATTTATACTACATCTTTGTCCTTAGATAGGAACATTGTAATGTGACTGTAATATTGAAAGACTGATCTAGGTCAGAAAAAACTCTTTAGACTATAGTTTTTACATTTTTTTTACTAGAAATATTAATAGAGAAGTACATTTCAATAGATTTTCTAGGGTATTAATGACAACCTTGGAGGTCTGATGAATTTTGCAACCTATTGTCTCTCATCCCTTTATCTTTTTGAATATATGCAGTGAAACTTCTTCAACYGTTGGAATCCTCTTGTGGTGTTAATTCCCTAAGTAACTTTTCCATAGTCGTGAATCACTATAGTGTTAATTATTGGTTTGAAGTGATGCAAATGATCTCCTTCCTGAATAAGGTGGGAAGATGGGGGGGGGGGGTTTACCCAATACTAGAGAGACTCAGAAATATCAAGCCTTTGTCTTATACATTTGAAAATAATGTTTTCTAKATGAAAGGAAAGTAAACTTGCCAGTATGGATTTATAAAAAATAAATGCTTCCTGCATCTGGTGCCAATGCTGATACAACAGTTGGAAAATGAAGTATGGTTGCCTTGATTCAGAAATAGTGAGCAGTAATGATTTGCATAACTTGTTTTCAGGGATTGAATTTCAAGAGGTCCATAGAATCATAGATTTGAAGGGGCCCCAAAGGCCATTTAGTTGAACCCGCTTGCCATGCAGGAATATACAACTAAAACATTTCTGAAAGATGTCTGCTTGGCCTCTGCTTTGGGAACTGCTCTGTTTTATCCCAATTTTTGACTTTTAAATGACTTCAAACTGTTTCAAATTAGTACTGTTTTTAATAAGAAAAAAAATAAGGGCTTAAAAAATAATTGGCACATTGGGTTTTTAGCTGTGTTTTAATCTAAGATGTGAGCTACCTTGGGTTCTATACTGGGAAGAGATGTGGGATGTAAATTAAATCATTGTAAACAAATAATTTTAAAATAGGCTTTCACCATTAATGGATTGCTGCAGAAAGGTCAGTAGGCTTTTAGGGAGTTTTTTTTTCTTGTTATCCATTCAATGCTTTTAAATAGCTTCTAATTTAGCTCAGGTAATAAACAATTCAATTTGTTTAAATTACTCTTTAATATTATTTTTTAGCTATGTTTATTTTAATCCTAAGGATCCTGTATGCGAAAATGTGGCATCTAAATAAAGTAATAAATTTAAGACAAAATGTAATCATTGGGTAAATTACTGTACTTGGAATTAAGGCAGTTATAGCCAGTTAGGAATATACAGGTTTATAGCTTTTTGTTTGATCCTTTTTTTCTCTATATGACTGCCAGTCTTTTTTTATTTTAAAGAGGAGCATATTTTCCTTACTTTTTCCCTTATTTTTAATTGACTTTATTCCATAATTTTAAAATCCATGCTTTCAGAAGCAAGATCTTTAAAACTCTGAGATTAAGACTATTATAAATATTAAACATAAAATATTTTACCATTTTTCAAAAGTAAGTGCTTCCAGGATGAAGACTGAATAGTTAAAGGATTAGAAAAGAAAAAAAAAAACCTTCGGGTTAATTGTGTCTTACAATTCTGAAAAGGAACTATGGCCATGATTCTCTCATTGTTATTCTTTTTAGCTTTTTAAATGCTAAATTAAAGAAGTTTGAAGAGTTCAAGTTTATAAAATAATTAGGATATTTTTCTCTCTTTTTACAGTTAATTGCAAAAGCTGAAAAAATGAGACTGGCAAAGACTCAAGAGATGAGCAAACATATCCACTTCTTTGAAGATGAATAAGTATCTCACTTGAATAAAATAATTTTCTTTTAAAAAGCAACTAAGGACATGATATGTGCACTCTCACCTATAAGTAAAAAGAAGAGGTGGAAAATGACATTCACCAGCTGTTTAAAAGAAAAAAGTCTTTATTTTATGAATCAATATTATTTGCCTTATAATACTATGGGACACAAATAAAATGGTTCTGAAACCCATGTTTCATCCACTAGACTGAACTGATTATTTGGGCCTGTTTGAGAAAAATAAATTAAACTGGCTTCTGATGCATTTGCCACTGATACTTGTACATTGCATTTTTATAGTCAGAGTTTAAGGACAAACCAAATAAACCGTAGAGATCTTTGGAGTTCATTGGTATCTGTTTACTTTTTAAAAGTTTGTAAGCAAAGATCCAAAAATCCATACTAAAAGATTTCTATAAATGAATCTGCTCTTTTCTCCAAACTTACATTTATTATTTTCTTTTCATTAGAAAGTTTTGCAAATCTGTCTGTGAATAATGCTGAAGAAAAACTGAGCCTGCTACTATTATGAGATTGTTTATTTACAGGGCCATTGTTACTTGCTGTATAGTAGAAGGGTTAGATCCAGGCTTCCCTTTTTGCTATTGGAAATATTCCTTTATTTTACAAAGGAACTGGAATCCACCTGAGAATTTCTACTGGAGAAATGGAAAGGGTGGTAATTTTTGTTTTTACTAGTTCTCCACATATATCCAGACCTCCTTACATGGTGTCTAAGGAGGTCCCTCAATGCCAAAATGTGTTACCCCATTCTCTTTTTCCATTGCAAGTTGAGCACAAGCATGGTGCTCAGCCATAGTTTATTAGTGCAGTTCTCCTTTTACTGTGACAGCAATTGCTTGTGAAGCTTCTTTTTGCTCTTCTGGCAACATGTGATCCCTGTAAAGCTTTGCCTGTGAAATCATAAGTCATGTAAAAATAAACACGAATTTGCAAGCAGAGCGAGTAATATTATTGGTATGGTCAGTGTTAAGAGAATAATGTTTTATGTTCTATAGTGTTCCTTCAAGTAATTTCTGACTCATGGAGTCCCTGGTTTAAGCTATCACAGGGTTTTCTTGGCAGAATATGGTCAAAAGGGAGCTGCTCTGGCCTCTCTTGAGGCTGAGAGAGTGTGATTTACTCAAGATCACCCATCGGGGTTCAGTGGCTCAACAGAGATTCTGGTGTCCAACATTCAAAGACTGGCTCAGTTCAGGTAAGTCAGGTTAATAAAATGAATCATCAAACTTATCTGTGATTCACAGCTTACCCTGAGCAATGATGCTTTTTTTGTCACAGGCTGTGGGTGGTAGATGTGTTCTTGCTTGCAGACAGCTATACACGTAAAAGATTATTCACCTGTAGTCAAAATAAGGATGTTTGAGGTAACATTTAAGACTAAGGATCCATTTCAAAAGCTCCTAATGAAGAAATAGATGCAGAGACCCAACACGGATGCTCACATTTGTTACTGCTCATAAAGCATTGTTGCAGGACCTTTGTTACAGTAATATCTCCACAATTTTAGGGGTTCATAAATGTGCTCATCCTCTGATGTGATATAGCTTGTCAGGAATGCCCTATTATATTTTGCATAGGGCAAAAGGGCATACTCTTTGCAAAGGAATAAAAGGAAACATCTGACAGCAAAAACAGTGGTATTCCAAAATGGATGCAGCATTTCAGTCTCATAGGACACTGCAAAGTAGCTGTCCTTGAATAACCATCATCATTTTACAAGATAGATTGCAATAGGAAACAGGAATGGGAGTCCAGGCAGTCCCCAAGTTGCAAATGATAGATTCTGTAGGTTTGTTTTTAACTTGAATTAGTATCTATGTTGGAACGGGTACATTTTTAAGTGTAACTCCAGCCACATGCACACACACATGCTTTGGATAGCATAGGGAATGGTTAACACCCCTGTGGTATTTGTTTTGCTGTCTGTGCCCCTGTTCACCTCACTTCCTGTCCCTGTGATAAGTGGTAATAAAGCTTCAGGGAAGATACCTTTTTCCCATGATAATTCCTTTAGGAGTGAATTTCCCTTCCAAGGGGTAGATTTCTCTCACTTCCTGTTGCTTCACCCCTATGAGTTGTATGTAAGCTGGGTGTTTGTTAGTTAGGGACTGTCTGTAGTGCCAATTAGAGTAGACCTATTGAATTAATTTCTGAGCAGTAAATTAACATCTGTATAAATTCTACTGGGTCTACTCCACTTGGGAGTTAGCATGAAATAGTGGTTTGAGTGATTGACTAGACCAAGATTTAAATTCCCACTTGGCCATGGTAACCCACTAGGAAACTTTGAAGTCATGCCTCCTCAGCCTCAGAGAAAAGCACAAGCAAATCCTCCCTGAACAAATTCTGCCTTTTATGAGTTTTGAGAAATTACTTGAAGACATCCAACAACAAACTTTTCTTGAGTCTAGCAAGTCAGATTGGACAAAATATATTTAGTACACCGTAGTGATCGGTTCATCAGCACAGACTATCTCCATTGCCATCCAAGTTCTGTTTATATAATAACCACTGTCTTTGCAATTCCATTACTTATTATTTTTGCAGTGCTTTCCTTCAAGCCCTGCTGATAATTCCTTACTCAGAAGAGTTCATTTAGACTAGGCTGAGCTTTGTACCAAATACCTGTATTGGACTAAGATTTCATCACTACTGTATATGGAACTGTTTATCTGCATTGGGATGTCTTTGTCACCTTCCAATGAATGTGGAACAGGCTGTTAAGATAAATCACACCAATATGATTACTTAAGTTTGTACCACTGTGAAGTATATTTATATGCTAATTTGTTCCAGTGCTCTGTGTGAAAGAATTGCCAGTTGTGTAATGACTGTATTTGCCTATGGATACTGTGGGTATGTTTGCATATGGATGGAGATTGACAGAAAATGAAAGGGTTCATGTTTCCAATGGAGTGTGAATGAGACAAATACAGACTAAGGTTTGGGAGACAGTGAAGACAATTGAGAGTGATTGTGTTGTGAGTAGTAGGAGTTGAGGGGGATGAATATTAAACAGTGAAATGATTAAGCAAATTGTGAGGGATAGTGTATGATAAAACATACATTTAATGAATAGGTAAAATATGTTGTTGACCTAGTATAAGTATCACATATTATTGCATCCTGAAACTGGCAAAAGGCAAAATACCCTTTTACATCTTTTTCATAAATCACATCTAAAGAGTCAGTGCGATATAGTTATTTGAGTGTTATACTAGCATCCTGGGGGACCAGGTTCAAACTCAGTCATGGAATCTATTTGGGTGAACTTGGCCAAGTTGCCCTCGCTGAACCTAAGAAGAAAGCAGTGACAATCTCTGAAGAAATCCACAAAGACCCTATGAATGTGTGTCAATATCATGACATACCCTTAATTAGAACTTGTTTTTAAATGTAAACTTTTTAAATTCCAGTTATAATACAAGAATACTATCAACTTGCAGATCAATAATCACAATCGTAAGAAAAATTCAACAATCCAATTACCGTACTTTTCTCCAGTTAAAGCAGACACGTTTAATCAATGCAACTTCCATAAAGGTTGTTTGATTTAGTGGGTCTGCAGAGCAAAGAATTTGTTTTAACTATACATCTGCAAACACTTCAGCATAAAATAAAGGATTTTTCTTAAAATGTGTTCAGTGGAACCAAAATCTTTTTTTAAAAAAGGTTTAAATTTTTTAAAAAATTTAGTAATGGTCTCATCCAATTGATGATGCCAAATAGAGAAGACGCATTTAGGTTTTGTTTTTTTTTAATGTCAGGAGCGACTTTGGGAACCTGCAAGTTGCTTGTGGTGTGAGAGAATTGGCCATTTGCAAAGACATTGTCCAGGGGATGCCTGGATGTTTTTCCACCCTGTGGGAGGCTTCTCTCATGCCCCTGCTTGAGAAGCTGGAGCTGACAGATGGGAGCTCACCCTGCTCCCTGGATTCAAATCGTGGACCTGCCGCACAAGGGTTTAACCCATTGCACCTTTAGGGGCTAATACCTATTTAGGTAAAATGATGTAAGAGTAGCTCTGTTTACTAAATCTAGTCCTTCAAATCTGTTCTTCACTTCCACTGCATATTCGCTAGGAATGTTAGTGAGATCATATCTAACTGGTCTGTGTATTTTCCCTGATCTCTTTAGTTTTATTCTATATTGAGCAATGAGAAGTTCGTGATATGAACTACAGTCAGCCCCAGGTCTTGTTTTCACCGACTGGACTCCAAAGGATGTAGTAAATCTGATTTCGTTGCTGACCATCTGGTGAGGTCATGTATAAAGCCGTCTTTTAGGTTGTTGGAAGAGAGTATTCGTTATACACAGCGAGTTTTCCTGGCAAAATTCTATCAGCCTGCGTCCCGCTTCATTTTGTTCTCCCAGACCACGCTTGCCTGTGATCCCAGTTGTCATTTGACTTCCCACCTTGGCATTCCAGTCTCCTGTAATGAAAATAATGTCTCTTTTTGGTGTATTATCCAGTACGTCCTGCAGATCCTCATAGAACTGATCTACTTCTGCTTCTTCAGCAGCTGTGGTTGGGGCGTATATTTGGATCACCGTAATGTTGAAAGGCTTGAAAGGCTTTCCTTGCACCCGAATTGAGATCATTCTGTCATTTTTTGGGTTGTATCCAAGCACCGCTTTAGCGAATTTCTTATTAATTATGAAGGCTACTTCATTTCTTCGATGTTCCTCTTGTCCGCAGTAGTAGATCTGGTGGTCATCTGATGTGAAGTGGCCCATTCCAGTCCATTTCAGTTCGCTGACCCCCAGAATGTCTATCTTTAGTCTTGACATCTTGCCAATAACAACATCCAATTTGCCCTGGCTCATAGATCTTACATTCCAGGTTCCTATGGTGTGTTGATCTTTAGAGCATCGGATTCGTCGTTCACTCCAGTACCGTCGGCCGCTAGCCTTCCTTTCGGCTTTGAGCTAGCTGCGTCATCACATCTGGAGCTAGTTGAACTTATCCTCTGCTCCTCCCCAGTAGCATTTTGGCCATCTTCCGACCTGGGAGTCCCATCTTCCAATGGCATACCGACATATCTCTGGTTGTACTGGTCCATTTAGTTTTCTTGGCAAGGATACTGGAGTGGTTTGCCATTGCCTTCCCCTGGGATCACGCTTGGTCTGACCTCTCTGCCACAACCGTCCCGTCTTGGGTGGCCCTTCACGGTTTCGCTCATGACATCATTGAGGTGCTCAAGCTCCAGCGCCCCGACAAGGCGGTGATCCTTTGCTGGAGGTAAGAGTAGTAAAGGTTTCTTTTTTTAATTAAAAATATACATTTTAGGAAGTACAGACTTATCTGTATATTTTAAAACTAATGGTGTGGATAGGTTTGGGGGAAGGGTTATAAGCATTAGAAAGATATTACCATTTTCTTTTATATAGTTATTAAATTCCCAATGAATGAGTGTAATAGTAAATGTAGCTTCATCTACATAGCTACATAGCTTGCTTGTTGGATGTCTCTGGATTTCCCAGTTCCTTGATGCTTCCTTATGCACTATATGAGAAATGAAATAACTCGGGATCGATGGTGACATATTGTCCATATTGCCAAGGTGCCTGGATATCTAAGGGATGCTGGAAATTTCATTTTCCTAGCTGGCACACAATAAGCCAGATCATTGCCTTGATTTCAGCTGCAGAGGGGTGCTGAAACATTTTAATAAGTGTTCTAATCAGTCTTCAAATCTTTCAAGACTGTAGGGGTTGGCTGAGGGGGGTGTAGCACTAAAAATAAAAGTCTAGAATCATATGTTAACCAACAACTAAAGTACCGTAGATTCATTTGATATGTGGAACTTTTGTCAATGTTGACATTATGTTTTCAGTCATTCAATGGGTCTACTAAATTCTAGAATTACCACGCAGTCATTAATACATAACTGGAATTGTTACTCTAGAAGACTTCATAAAAGCTAACCATAAAT